TCCATAAATACCCATATTGTAACATTATAGTTTTTCTTGCTGAGGAAGCTTGGCAATAAGGGCATTTTAAGAATTAATCTGAATAGAGTGAACAAACTGATACTCCTCCACAATCTCTGATGCAACTACAGCAGCTCTCAAAAACATGTTCGTGGTGAAGCTTTTTCTTGAGCAGCAATTACAAGTAATACCAGATGGTGCAGCATTTTGAATGACACACACATGTAGCTTCCAAAGTGCAACTACCAGCGTTTTGCATTAAATCCAAGCTATGTCTTCCTTCATAATTTACTTAAGTTGAAACGTACTCACACTGTATCTTTGAAAATACATTGTGTGATTTTCCCAGAGATTACAGTAATTAAACTAGTATCTTACCTGCTTGCATTTAATACAAGTCAGCTTTGTGTACAAGGGAAAAAATAAGTGTCACACAAAGGCCTCCAGATGTTTGAAAAGCAGCACCTGGGTATACTCAATGAAGACTGGAGAATGTTCATTGGGATTTTTTTTTAACCCCTTACAGAGATATACGTCATACCCTATTTCACATCTTTTTTTTTTCCTCACCCCACCAACACATTCCTCTATTTCCCGGTCAGAACAACAAGCTTTTTGTTTGTCTGAGACCAAAGTCTGAGAAAGTGAATTACACCAAAACACAAAATTCATCTGGCACAGAAGGGGACCTTCAGGAGACAGCTCTCAACAGGTTTGTATCAAAGGATATTCAAAAGGCAAGGACAGCCAAAAGGCAAGCTCAGTTTATGCTATTCTCAAGAGTTTTTTCAAGTTTCCACTTTCTTGTTTTGTGGGTGTAGCTTATAGCAGATGACATTATTTTAAGGACATCTTCAAACAATACCCTGTACCTTTTAAGCTTCAAAAGCTTTCAAACTATTGAGCAAACTATCACCACTTTCTGGCTTCCTGTTATGTTGCCATTTCTGGACGCAAGGGTTACCTCATTAAGTTGTTCTACCACAGACACAAGAGAAGTTAACTTTAAAATGGTATCTTTAGAAAAAAGAAAATTGCCAGTTACCCAATTTAAGGTTTTTAATTTCAACACAGTGACTGCAACATTCACTGCCGTAGCTGGATTCCACTTGTTCAGATCAGTAACAAATGAGGTATCTAATTGGTTGGTTTTAACTCTTTGATCCACATCAAAAGCTCTCACACAAGAAGTCTGTATTAACAGACAAGCATCAGAGCGCCAAACTATCCTCAAACAATACAACCGAGTATGCTTCTTCTGAAAGCTTTAACAGCAGACTCCCCTTAGTACCACCAACTTAAACAAGTCCTGCAAAACTACCTGCCTGCTCCCTTGACTTTGAAGAAACCAGCATAAAGCTTCATGTCTTCTCGCCTCTCCCTAATGGAAACATACACGCTTACTTCACTTTCAACAGACAGTGAAGGGGTAAACTGCACCACATACAAGGTTTGAAGCATTCAGTGCACTTTTTGAGCAAACAGTAACTTCAATTGCTATCCAGTTACTAAAACCTGAAGCAAAGCAACACCACTGATACTTCTGTAGATATCAAGGGTAGCTTTCTGCATCTTCTGGCATACAGATTGGAGTTTCAACATATTAAGTTTAAATATATCAGCGGCAGCATACTCTCGTTCTGGAGAGATTGGTCCACCTTCGCCCTACCCTTTACTTCGCCTCAAGTCTTTTTACCTCGCCTCATGAGCTGTAAGACACAAAGCTATGATTTTTCGGGAAACTTCAGAAATATTTAAACGGCTGCACTCCACCAGATACACAGAAGGACGGAAGAGTCCTTAAAAATTGAACTCCTTGCTCACAACAGTAAGAGCACGCCACTTAATCCACCTTTTCCCCAGGTGCCGGATTAATAAGCACTGCTGCATCCAGAGCACATAAACTTTAGTAGCTCTCACTGGGAAGAGTTCAGAAGGTTGTAATATTTTTGTTTCCCGGGCGCGACAGGGTGTTACAAAGCTCACTCCTTCCACGTGTAAAATAAGTTTTAAAGAGCAAACCAGTCAGCTTCATCCAGCTTTAGGCGACACGCTCCCCCAGGTGCAAGCGGCCGCGCTTGGCTCTCCCCTCCGCCGCCCGCAGCAGGAGGGTTGCGAGCCCACAGCGGTTGCCCCGCGGCTCACCAGCGGCGGGCGAAC